CTATGAGAGCCGATCGCTTGGATCGGCTATTGGCCCTCAACAAAAACATTTACAGGACCTTCTTTCCACACTTTTCCGTAGAAACAATCGACGCCTTCATATTCCCGGTGGGGTAGATTCTGTGGCAACAACACTTACCGAATCATCAAGATGTACAACTTCAACGTCATCTCCAATCCATTGAATGAGAATTTGATGCATGGTTGAAGGAATGCAACAATTAGCATGGATCCAATCTTCCGCCTAAGAGTAGACTATATGCCCCTTGCCATCAATGACAAAAAAGGTAGTAATCAGAGTTTTCGACCCAATAGTCATTCGACATGGATAGCACCTCGCATCGGAAGGGTTGCCAAAGAAAGTCCCTAAGCACCATGTTAGTTTTCAACAATTCTTCATTAGTCATCCCAAGCTTTACAAGGTAGTATAAGGCATGATATTGATAGCAGCCCCTCCATCAACAAACATCTTAGTTAAAGGCTTGCCATTGACATATCCCTTTAAATAGAGTGGTCTCAAGTGACGATTCTTGATTGGTTTGTCAAAACAAATTCATCGTGTTAATACAAGTCGGGCCATCAAATCTCGACATTCACTTTCATCAAAATCAGAGTACACCTCTTCTTGGACATCTTGGCTTTTGGGAGCTATAAACTCGATGGGAGGAAGAAAGCCATGCAAGCATCACCAAGGACCACATTCATCGCTTCTTCTTAGGATGCCATATTTGCTTTGTTTCGGTAACTTCCTTTCAACTCCCTATTCCTCAACCGCTGAACTCTTCTTTTCCGACTTTTCCTCAGCCCGAGAGGACACCAACGTCCTTTTTGCCATACGTATCTATAGGAATCAACTTCTTCATCATGCACCCTATCATGAATCCAACCTTGACCTCGCAAATCTTTTCCTTTGCCGATTCTCAAAATCATCTATTTTTAAGCGCCCGATCATCTTCGTGAACCTTCGCTCCAAGTCTTTCATAGACGGACGGGCTTGTTGACTCAGATTGCCTATACTCGGAGTAATCGAGCACTACACTCCGGACAATTATTTCTAGCAGCAACCTCAAGCCTTCATTCCAACAATGCCTAAAGAATAAACAACCCCAATGAGATCGCTCCTGTTACATGTCATGTATTCTTCTTTGCTCCCTTCGGCATACCTCTTCCTCATACCTCCGAGATTCTTCCATAAACCATTGCTTCTTATAGTATCCTTCTCTTGCTCTCTCTCGCCACTTGTTTAGCAAAATACGTGATGTAACTCTGGGTTTGAAGTTTGACCTTTCTCGGTCTTCGGCTATTCTCAAACCGAACTCGTTGTTGCAGCTTTCTCTATCGTAACTTGCCAATCCGGTCAACAAAGACCACTTTTCTTTTGCTCTATCGTAAGTCAACACCTTCATCTTGCCTTTACCTTTGAGATCATTGGCGTGAGACCATATTCACAGAGAAAGAAATCATATTTTGTGGAAAAGGCTGATCATCAATTCTCATCTTGCCATCAAACTTCAAATGTCCCTCTTGGATAGCTTTCTCGATTCAGATTCGAACACTCGGCAAATCATTGATAGAGTGAGAATTAGTGTTATGGAAGCCACAATACTTTTTGTCTTTCACTCCTTTAGGACGTAGCATGGGATGTCCTTCTAGCAACTTTTGATGCGCCCTTCCTTCATCAATAATGCAAAAGCCCGTCTCGCTTTAGTAACATCAAAATCATAGGTTCCCTTTTGTTGTTTCAACCATTGCTTGACTAATTTGAGTAGGCTCTTTTGCCCAATTCAACTCAATTTACAGCCTATCTCATCTTCATCAATATACTCGCCGCTTCCTCCGTAAAACCTTGATACACCCTCATTAGTGGCATTGTTCTTCCGAAAGCGATTATCTCCTCCCGAATCCTTGGGCCCGATTACTCATAGCCGCTAAACGCCAGGCAAGTTGGCCAAGATCATCAAACTCCATGCCAACAACTTCTCCCACGATATTCGGCAACATTCCTCGCTATAGCTATTCCGTAGTTGATCATCCGGTAAATTCAGAGAATAACACATATTCTTGGTTTCCCAAATCGCGAAGATATTCCAATGGTGTCTCATTTGTTCTCATCCTCGACTCATGAGATCGACTCAACTTCTTCTCATTAGTACCCGTGTAGAAATATGAATGAAACTTCTCGCCTAGCTCGCCCTACGTACCACTATGGAATGAGTCGGTAAAGACGTGAACCACGTGAAAGCTGGTCCTATAAGAGACAAAGGAAAATATCAATCCTCCAAGCTTCATCCGGGCGCTTCTCCAAGTCGCATTAAGTACCGATCGACGTGCTCTATGGTACTAGTATCATCTTGACCGTAAAAACTTGGTCAAATCATTGGAGGCTTCACCCTTGGAGGTAACGCCACTCTGTTGTACCACTCGATAAGGAGACTTGTATGAATAGGATTGATTTTTTGGCTTCAAGCGAACTGATTCGCATCATATCAGCCATCCTGTGCATCAAAACATCAATGCCCTGAATCCCGATTTCCTTGTACCTTTTCTAGTAGGCAATCCTCAAGCACTCCCTATACCTGGATTTGGCATAGATTGATAGCATTGTAATCAGTAAATTCTTGATACCCATCTCCATACATATTCTTCTCGCAACTGCTTGATGTCGAGAAACTCTATAAGCCGAAAGTGGCACTTCTCCCGTGGTACCAAATGTTACCGCCATAGGTGGGATGTGATTGCTTTTCAAAGTGAGTCAATCCACCTATATTTGAAGTCGATGCTCCTTCTTTCCAACAGTTTCTCTTGATGCTTTTGGAACATTGAAAAGTGTCGGTCCACCGAGTGGGCCAACATTTTCTTCAAAGTATTTATCAACCATTGGACCAAAAGTAATCGATCATGATTGCCCGAAGGTATTCGTAAAAGTCGTGTGATGGTTTGTCATGGTTTCTCCCATAGCTTTATAAACCAGTGGCTGCCATCTTCCCGAGCATCCTCCTCTTCAAAGTGTAATCAGTTTGATGTGGAAGAAGAACCCTTGGCATTGATCGCTTTTGAAACACTTTGTTGCTCTTGTTTTGGAAAAAGACATCAAACACTTCCGTTGGTATTGCTCACATGCTTGTAGCACTAAATCCTATAATTATCCGCAAATTCCGCCATGCTCACATCCGAACATGATCATTGTTGATCTCGACGCCCATCTTGAACTAACAGATGGTCCCACCGGCGTGCGTTGCCAAAAGTGTGTTGACACAAATGTGACGCCGCCAGCCTCACACACACGCCAGCCGGAAGCGTGGCTTCAATCGGGTGCCCGGTGCTTCGTGATCCGGCGTGCGCTACGGGTTTGACCTCGAAAAAAACTAACAAGGGATAAAAGCGATTAAATGCCAAACCGGAACATGTCGGTGAGACCGATAGCTCCATATATACGGCCCCGGAAGCCGCTTACAACGACATACAACTATAGGAAGTCATTCGCCAACAAGTTTATAAACCATTCGGCTAATCGTAAGATGAACACACGTAAAGATCCGATTGCGAATGCATGTGCATGGGAAGACATGTTTGAACAAGTGAAATTAATTATGCGTTAATGCATATAACCAAGCTCAGCATCTCCAAATGAAGTTGGGGTCCATGAAGAAGGAACGTGCAAATAAACACGATTAAACTAATCTAAAACTCAAGATCCGCCAATGACGACACCTAGTTTCGTCAAAGCTTAAACGTAATTAACATGCATGAACCCACAACATGTGACAATCTAGATTAAAATAATTCAGCCATTATGAGCATGTTATCTATTTGCAAAGGTAATATGAAAGTAATGATCATTGAAGCACGAATAAAACCATAGGAGAGGGCGAACAATATCAATCTAGATTGGGCGTATGTGTTACAAATATATAAAATATTTAAAACATGCAACACAGATAACTTAATGAATCTATTTAGATTTTGCCGTATCTAATAGAGCCGATAACCTGTCTTGCTTTCACTAAGCATATTGAGCAAACGCTTGCGCACGGTATCTACTCATAAACAAAGCATAAGCAAAGACTTTCTGATTGTCAAGCAAAGATCCGCCGCACGATCATTGAAAACAAACAAGACTACTTGCATCACGCCTAAATCCAATCGCATGATACTAAACATGATAACAAGGTTGTCGGAACTTACGGAGGTCGACGGATCGATGACTCCTCTCAAGAACTCGACGACACGACAAAAGGACTCTAAAGTAGGCACGGGCCGGGTTGTATTGATTTGGTTGTGAACGCCATTACAATGGTCGAGGGTCAATATTTATACCCTAGACAAAACATCGAGTCCTAAAAGACTACGATTTACAAAGGAACTCTTAAAACAAACTTGGAAACTACGATTCCTTGCCCTAAACTCTCGTAGTCCTTTATTATTACAACTTTCATCTTTCGATCGGCTTTGCTTGCCATCTTCCGCTTTCCGAATGGAGTCACCACCTTCAAGTAACCGGATCGCATGCATTTATTTGAAATAACATCGCTTTGTTTGCCGAATGTCCTTCTTCCCGCATGCGGTCCACCGTCATCTTCCAAAG